TTTACACGTTTTATTTGAAACTTCTTAAAGATTTCTTTATTCAGATATCTTTATATAACATCTATTGAATAATACTCTCTTGTAAGACTAACAAGTAACACTACCTAACTGACACTCACCGATTCAAATGAATCTTAACATACTTATTAAACACCTAAAAATATTGAACACGTGTTTTTTGTTTCTGCTAAATACGCATTTTAAGGGTAGAAATCACTCCTTAATCTCTGGAATATGGGAACAGCTACGGCTAATTATTTCCGAAACGATATATTTTCTGAAAAATGTGCTCAGGACCAAAGTTGTAGGGTTTAAAGTAATGCATTTGATAGTGACCTTTAGTTGATCTTGAGATCGATTTTCAAGATGAATTAAATTTGGACATAATTAGCCGTTGCCGGACTTTTGCCGGATATACATCCTATATAATCAGTGATTTCGTGCGCTGACTCTAAATCTGTCTTCAGAATTGATCTGTCGCGTTCCCATACAGATCTTGCAGCAATATTGCTGGAACGTTGCAACAATGTTAAAAGTTGCAGCAGTGTTGCTGCAATATTGCTGCAAGATCTGTGCTGTATGGGGTTATTTTCCTAAAAAATCTGATGTGGTGAGAAAATTTTAAGTGCAAATTCACAGATAAAAATAAGAAGAAAAGTTTTGTGGGCAACTTTAGAATAGAAGTAAAGGTAAGAAAATGTAAAGTGTCACCCTAATTGTAAGTTCAACATTACTCATACTATATTAAAATAATATCTTTAATTTTTCTGATTTTTATTGCTACTCTGAAGTTATCTGCAACATCTTTTACTCTTTATTTTGTGGTAGGATTTCATTTGGACATATGGTCCATTGTCATTTTTATGACTGTCGTTGAGCAAGCATTTTCCAAAATTACTTCTTCATTATTTACTTTCTATCCTTTTTAATCAATCGGACCATTCACGTTCTGAACGTAAAATTTTACGCTCTGTCGATTCTCAAGATTAAAAGTAGGTATTTCCTTTGAAAAATATGAAGTGATATTCAACTGACTTTGCAAGTCGACCTCAAGGTCAACTCAAAGTCACCATCAAGTGCATCACTTTAAACCCTACAACTTTGGTCCTGAGCACATTTTTCAGAAAATGTATCGTTTCGGAAATAATTAGCCGTAACTGTTCCCACACTCTAGAGATTGAGGGGTGATTTCTACCCTTAAAATGCGTATTTAGTAGAAACAAAAAAACCCGTGTTCAATATTTTTAGGTGTTTAATAAGTATGTTAAGTTTCATTTGAATCGGTGAATATCAGTTGGTACTTGTGAATATAACTTATAATTCAAAAATTTGATCAGTTTGCTGTTTTAACCCTTTACGGGATAGTTAGACGTATACGTCCCAACTTTTTTCCTTTAGTTTTTTAAATATTCCTGTTACATTTACATTTAACTATTGACAGAATTATACAATTTATACTTGTAAGATTATCAGCAATTATTTTTTCTAAAATATTTTGATTAATTTTATGATATACTTAAATATGGTATACTTACAAGTAACTAAAGATTAAAAAACTTATTTTTCCCAATTAATTAATTACGTGAACTAAATGCACTAGAAAATTACAAATTTACACAAACGTGGTGCTTATTATACAATATATCTTTTATTGGAAATTGTTTATACGTTCATTATTGAAAAAAAATGTTAAATATTGACGTAAGTGGAGTATTATAAAAGAATAATTATATCGTGTTTAAATAATAAAACATATTACGGAAAAGATTTTTTTAATAATAATGCTTCTGCTTAT